TACAGTGTAGTTGGATGATTAAAAAAAAAAAAAAGCGCGAATAATTTATGATTTTTTTTTTTTTTTTTGAAAACACAACTTACCTTAGTTTAGCCGCTCAAAATCGTCTTTAAATCGTTTTAACAACGACAAATTCTATTTTTGTTTAAAGTAATTTTGTCTAGTTTACAATGAAGCAATTATTAATTACTTAAATCAAATATTTCTTTAGTTATTATTTTCGACTCAACAAAAAACAGAAATCAATTTAAAAAAAAAAACACATAAAACTTGGATTTCCTATTTTTCTCCTGAAAATTTGGGAGATTATTTGTATGAAGTTTTTTTTTAGCTCTTGAGGTCTGCTACTAATTCTATAAAAAAAGTCCTCCACTTACGGGACACCCTGCACAGGGGTGCCCACAAGCGGGTTTCATGACGCAAATTGCGCCATCAAAATTGTTGAGGGGAGTAAATTTTTACAGGATTTTGAATTTTTGAGGGGGGTACATTTCAACGAAGTTATGAATTTTCGGCTTGAAAAGTTTTAAATAAGGAGACTAAGAGAATACATGAAACAAATCTCAGCAAGTGTAATTGTATATGATTTACGGTACTTTTATTTCTTATGTTTTTAAGAAAAGGGAACCAATAAAATATCTTGGGGAGGATAGCAGAGAGGTCAATGCGCCATCGACCTTGGGAGGACCCTGTATATATATATATATATATATATATATATATATATATATATAGAGAGAGAGAGAGAGAGAGATTTTTTTAAATTTTATAAAAATGGTTGAATATTTTGAAACAATTTCGAGAAGTTAGAGTTTTATTTTATTACTTGTATGGAGTTCGTTAAAAATCTTGAATTTGAGTTTTCAACGTAAATATATATTTCATAGTCCTATTATACCATACCATAGCCCTGCCAAATGATCTCTGAGTGAGTGAGCAGCAGAGCTCAAAAATGAAACGAAAAGAAGTCCGGCATTGAAATTACTTATTCATGGTATGTATATGACTGAGGTGTAACGTTTTAAACTAAACTAACCATTTGCTTGATGTTAAGCTATTTTATATAATTGACATCTTTTCTCGAGAATTGCTCCAACGATTTATACTGAACTCATTATATCGAAGTAAAATTATATGGTCTTTAACATCTGTTACGTCTTATCCTCATCGGAATATTCTATTTTAATTTCATATGTATTTACTCAATTCAATCCGAATCTTCTATTGTCTGAAATAGATCCAATGCAATATGAAATAACTGTTTCTTGGTCAACGGTTGTGCAAGGAGGTGATTTTAATGAGACAGCGCACAACCATCAGGTTTTCCCTCTTAATTAATTACTTAATTAAAGATACCCACTTTAAAGAGGCTGAGTGTGCCCCAGGAGGGTCTCCCGACCCCGAGGTCTTCCCACGGCTGATGATACAGAATAAATAATTTTTCTGCCAGTTTCTGAAGTTGGGACCTTGAGCTGTGAATTGAAAACTCCTTGCTCTACTACTGAGCTACCCCATTCCCCGAGATTATAAATACTGCTATTAATTTGATTAAAAATGTGTTCAAACTTAATATTTTAGCAAATATTTTTTATCCATATAAATTTGTTAACAAAAATGGGATAAATATATAAGTAATAAGAATGATGATAATACAACGAGAGAATAGCCGATATGAAACACCACACAATAAATTTAACTTTTTGCATATAAGTGGTATTGTTTTTTCTGTCCTGATAATGTTTGAATTGGCGAAACGTTGGCGAGTTAACCATTCAACTGTATGTTGGAGACTCGTGACTTTGTAGTTTTATTTATATCATAATTACCTTATGTCTCTTTTCTAGGTTTATGCCTATTTTTTAAATTAGATGTAAAAAATATTGGCCAGTATTACGTACATATATTAAATGAAATTAGTATTAGACTAAACAATAGATCATTAGAAAATAAAAACATCAACAAAAATACGGTTGCATCCCATTTATATATGGTAAGTTCTGCCAATGATATTGGCATTGTAAATGGAATTTTTACTTAATAATCAGGGATCATTTTTTTTTTTCCCTTTGGCATTACAGTCCAAGTTCTTTCGCCACCTTAACAAGCCTGCTCCACCTCTGCCTGCCTTGGACTATTTCTTTCCATTTATCTGCACGCAGACCTATTGCATCTTTGTTGATTCTATCTATCCAACTGCTTTTTGGCCTTCCAGGTGGTCTTATATCTTTTATTGAGGCATTCGTTGTTGCGTAGAGGCTTCCAGATGGATTATTACAAGCTACATGCCCCGCCCATCTTAACCTCTGGGCCTTCATATCATGGAGACTGGTTTCAGTAAGGAGTTCTTTATTGGTCTTTCTTCTCCATGTTTGAGTACTCTGATCCCAAATCGCTCCGGTTATCGTGAGAAGAATTTTCCTCTCAAATCTTTCAACACTTTTTTCTAGGGTCCTGGTTAGTGCCCAGGTCTTACAGCCATATATTAGAACTGGCTTTATCATAGCATTGTACAACCTTAATTTGAGATTTCTTGAGATTTTTCGGGATTTCAATACCTTCGAGAGGGAGAAGAAAGCTTTGTTTGCGCTAGTTATACGTTGGTCTGTCTGCCCGTTGGTCATTCATTGAGGTTATTGTGGACCCCAGGTATTTTTATTTGTCTACTCTCGAGAATGATTTTCCTTCTGCGCAGGTCCTATTATTGGGGAGGAATTTTCGGCTTGTTATATTTTTTTATTATTATTTAATAAATAATAATATTTTTTTAAAAATGTTTTGTGACTTGTATAGCTTGAGCCAATTGCCTTAGAACGTTGTAGTTCTCTAAAAAAATGGAAAAAATATAAGAGCACTTCAATCCTTGAAGATGCCGTATATAAGAAATAAATTTGTTGGGGGTGTCCATCGTAGTTATGCTGCTTGTTCGGTGTCATTTTAAACTCAAAATATTTAGAGAAAAAATATCTTGGTCGGAGCGACGTTTTATATAAGCAATTCAAGTGAATCAAACTCATTTAGAAAAACTTATTTCTCTTTTCCTAGTTTTAGTTATTGGACGAAACGTAAAAATTCTTACAATACGAATTTTGGTTCCTTCGTTTTAATTTTGTACTGATTTCATCCAATTTGTTTTTGCTATCAACTCAAATCTTTTTACAGGATCGGATTTAAGGTGGAAAATACTTAGATGTAAGACATTTAGGCTCCTAAAACCTTTAAAGAAATGCAGGCAACATGTTTTCCGAAATGTTCATATTTGTTTAAGATAATCTTTAAATGTCTCGTTGCAAAGATTTGATGAAAATTCGTAAAAAGATTAAAAATAGGGAAACAAGAAATTATAATTAATGTTCATGGGATTGTATTGCTTGTTAAGAAATCACATTCATATCAAGATCCAACACTTATTCTTTTTATAGTCCTACATTTCTTAATATTACTTTAAAACAATCTCATCTATTGACAGAATTGAGTTTTCAATACGACCTAGACAAGATAAATTTTATTTTAATAATGAAATCTTGGAAGAGGGGCAAACACTTTGAGGTCGCAGTCGCTTCTCTCATCGATTTTTAATTTGCGCAGCTGAACATTTTCTTCAATACATTAAGGTTAGCTGACTAAAGGTTTAAAGCTATTTCTAAACAATAAATATTATGGTGGTTATATTATTACACTGAATAACAAACGAAATAAAATAATCCTTGAGAAAATGTTTTATTTTATTCGTGATTTCAGCTAAATGAAGAATTAAACTAAATAATAGAGCTTTTTATATAAAAATAAACAAGTAGTGCTAAATGAATTAACGGATGCGTATTTACCTTTATCCTAACCTATGTTCGCCTTCTTGCGAATCCACCTTCCAACTAGAACTGCTCAGGATCTAAGAGCAAGTTTCTTTAAGCTTAGCACTTAGCTCAGTCTATCGATCAATCAATGGTTTACATCGATGGAAATCAGGCAGTTTCTTTCATCATTCCATCGACTATGGGTGTCGATTGATCCGATGGATGTGATCTCACTACAAGCCCAATGCTATTATTTCCATTTTTCAGTTATAAAGAATCGAAACTATATAATGTTTACCAGCCATTTATTAATTTTTTGGATAATTCTTCCTCAATGTTTGCGAAAAGTTGTTAGCCTCCATGCTCCAAGATTATTATATTCGATCCATAGTTCTTTTGTGTCTATTGTTACTAGGTACATTTCCAGACTATATACTTATTCCAGGTTGTGTTTTTATTTTATTAATAAAAATTATATTTAATATTTATAATTAAATTTAATAACTATAATTCAATTTTTTTTATTTTAATGAAATTTACAACTGTATTACATGGAAAATACAACAAGTAAATGTGACATTGGTAACATGACATTTACAACATGAAGAGAAACTACCCATTGGTAGAACTCAAATTAAAGTTCTATATTAGAAGATCCCGAGGCCATCTTCTTTTCAGACGCCACGGAGGGTTTTTAGGGATCGAGGAGGAAGCAAGGTTTGAAACGAGAGGATTCGGTTGGTTCTGCAGTTTGTTATGGAAGGATAGATCTGGATTGGGCTAAATCGGAAACATATGGAACATTAAGGTCTTTATGGATGATTTTATTTGTGACAAAGTAAGGAGCGTTGAGGATTTTACGAAGGATTTTGGATTGTGAGGATTGAATACGAGAGGATATAATTCAATTTAAAATTTGAATTGATATAAATTGATTCCTCAATTATTACCATATGCTTTTGAACATATATTTATTTTGTGCTATTATATAAGTATCTTACACAGTTAATTGAAGTTGATATTAACGGATGATTTACAATTTACAGAACTTTTTAATTCATCATTTAATTATTTTTTAATGTAGCTGTAAGTTTTTATTACACTTAACATTATATACAGATAGAGAGTAATATCTGGCCCACTTATGCTGGCTAAGAGGAAGAAAATAACCCATCGGGAGTTATTGTATTGTATTATGTTTAAGGTAAATTTTGAGTTAAGTAAAAGTCTAAAATTCATTAAAATCATTTTTGTTTTCAGAGAAACTCACCGGAGCTAGTGGAGCTAATCCTTTTTTCAGCCTTCTCTTCTTGCTGTCTTCGATAACATCCGATTAAGCGATCTGTTATGGTCTGTTTCCAATTAGAAGATATTGAAAACTTCTTCTGAAATGTCTGGTGAGAGTTCTATGTCTAATCAGATTCTTATATTAGTGATGGAGCTTTAGATATACTCAAGAAGTTGGTTGGGGAACTACAAACTTATTTTTAATGTATTCCGAAGTTTATGCCTAAGTTGTAGGACTTCACCAGGGTGACTTAGCCAGAGATTTATTATCAATGGTCCCTGATTTTTCTTGACCGCGTCCCCTTTCCAACGCCCAACCAACTTCTTATATACAGAATCTTCGATTCAAAACTTATACTATGAATTATCGTCTTTAACATAAAAACTAAAATTTATATATAATTATACAACTACTAACTAAAAATAACTGATACATTTAACTATGTGCTTACCCAACCATTTAAAATAAAAATATAAAATAAGCCATTTATTGATTCAAAATCTTTCAGAGCAGGTATACTTAATATTGATAGCCATTTTAATTAGTACCTTGTTTCAGTTCGGAAATATCATAGGCCCGAACAAGAAACTGGTCTGAATAAACAAAATATTATAAATCTTATCAGCTCATTTTCTTCATTTGTCATTTTATCTGCCCCTGCAGTAACCCGAGTAGGCGCTCAGGCTGCCTCACATCCAATCAGCTAAGTGTCCTATTGGTTACTGAGGCTAGTTATTAATTATAACCATTAAAAATGATATATCATTCACTAATGACATTACATAATTGAATAATAAAAGGGTATATAAGCTTTATTGAACTCATTTATTGTTGTGTCTTATATTACTTGCAAGATTTGTTAATAAATCATAGTGTGATAAATAATGATATCTGCGTTGGTAACGTTGTTTATTTTTCAGAAAACATAACGTTATAACAAAACAAAAAAGGCTAGTCATCGTAATATAAAAAAAGATGGTGCGCGCATCACACGACTTTCACTTACCACCCTCTTCTTAGCAGAAATAAGTATTTTCAGATAAAGGAGAAGTGAAAGTAAAAATTATAAACGCTATATTTATTTACATTTCATTTTGGGTATTTTTATTTGTTTAGTTACACATATATAAACAAACATTTACTTTTTATATCCTTGTAATCTGTACAATTAAATATTAAATAATACCAACGATAGCATTTATGAAAACCACATATTTCTTTGTACATAATATTGTCGGAGTCCGTGTTATATTAAGCTCATGTTACGTATGGAAGCCTGTTCTAATCTTTCGGGTGAGCTCGCATTCCTTTGCTTCCTCCTTTATAACTATTATTCGTTACTATCTCTTATTTTTTCTTTAGTTAATTATCAAATTCATTTATATTTTATATTTAACTATTTTTCATAACAAAGATTAATGTGAAATGGTTAATTATTTCAAATAAAAACAATTAAAGGTACTTTAGAAGATGATTCAGTGTCCCCTCCCCCCAATACGAATGCTGCGTACGCAGCATTGGGGGAGGGGAGACTGAATAAATAAAAATCTCAAGTAGATAAAACATTACAAACTCAATAATATTATATACAATACAGTTTATTGTTATTACAATTTATAAATATTTTTATATGGAGCACAATATATACATAGAAGAATAAATTTTAAAAATTATTTTGACGTTTTCGACTGCTCCAACACTTACTAGACAAACGCTCTAAACATTCAATTAATTACAAAATAATCATCTATTTAACCATAATAAGACCTATATGGACATGAGGAATTGGGCTTTGGCGCTCTACCAAACCATCGAATTCCTATCGTATCCAATCCTTACAATCCAAAATCCTTCCTAAAATCCTTAATGCCCCATATTTTGTCACAAATAAAATCATTCATAAAGACCTTAATGTTCCATATGCCGCTCATTTAGCCCGAGCCAGATACCTATCCTTTCATGATAAACTGCAGTCCCATCCGAAACTACTTGTTTCCAGCCTTGCTTCTTTCTCGATTCCTGGATAATCCCCCTAGGCGTCTGAAAAGAAGATGGCCTCGTGATCTTCTTACCTAGAATTAATTAGGGAGTGCTACCACTGAGTAGTATCTCTTCAAGTCTGTTCATGTCATTATTTATAATGTATGCATTTTTACTGGTTGTAAATTTTATTAAATAAATAACAAAACAAAAGTGATTTTTCTTAGATTTTCGACAAATGTTTTTCCAAATACTTCTTTAAAATCATTTAGAAGGGGGGGGGGGAGGGCAGTGGGCACCCTCTCTCCTGCCCTTTCCTGCGTACGCCCATAAATTATATCATAAATAATACTGTGTTGCAGAGGCAGAAGATGACACTAATATTGGCAGATTGGGTATCGTTGTCCATAGAGGTGGCTGAGACATTAAGCTCCATGTTCAGCAAACCGTCTTTTGGCGATTTAAAAACCAATGTTCTGAAAAAGGAAGAATCTTTGAACACTGCAGACAAAAGAACGGTAAATGGTATTTTATTCAAAATATCTTATTTTTATCTTCCAAATAAATTTGTTTCGATTGTTCTCAGTTTTGGCTAATCTCACTATATATTCAATATCACAATCATAACATACAAGTTTGTGGTACAAACCCTTTTTTTCTGGCACACGGGGTTACGGCAGTAATGTGTTAATACGTTGAGAATACGTACACCAATAAAATTTCTATAAATTTTCTTATTTTACAATATTGTAGGATAATTTAATTTGGGAACGATCAAGTTTTAGGTTTAACTGTGGTGCGGTCCGATCCACGGATGAGGCCGCATCTTATCCTTTGCCGGATCAAATGTGGAACTTTTGACCCGACAATTGAATTTGACAGTTACATCGACAAATTTATTGGGTTTAGCCCTAGTGACGCGGTTGAGAGAGGAGTGCAGGGAACTCCTGGAGTCATATTTTTCCCTCCACAGTTGGAGGGACAAGTCTTGTTTGGAGTTCTCTCGCCAAATAGTAAATATTGTATATAGGTGTGTATGTGTTCTTTTTATTTATTTATTTTCAGGTTATTTTATTCTTATTTATTGTATATATATTATTTTTCTGTATAATTTATTTTATTTATTGTACATAGAGTGTGAATGTGATCTGTGAACTCTATTATAAATGTCCTAGAGACAGCTTGTAATATTTTTCAATAAATAAGTTTAAAAAAAAAAAACATCGACAAATTTAACCAAATTTCTTTGAACTTTTAAGTAGGGCTGCCAATCCCCCTTAGGTCGATGGCGCATGAACTTCCTCTTCTCCCTTCCAAGATATTATATTGCTCTGCTCATCTTGAAAACAGTGCCAGCGAAAGTAGAAGTACTCCTTCTGGGAAACCATCCATTAGGTGTATCTCTTGCATACAATGACGTCAACTACTTTCGCTTCCCGACTTAAATTCATCGGTAAATATTGTACATTGTCCAGAATCTGATCTTAGGATTAGGAAAACTTATTTTTGCTTTGCATTTAATCCACCTCACTAGCAATTTTATTTCTTTAACGGTAGGTGTGGATATTCCTAATTTTAATACCTGCTGTATTAAGTATATTTCTTTGAATTCTCACAAGTATAGGCCTGCTAGCTACTAGCAAAAGGCCCAATATAAGGCTCCAGTAGCTGACACACAATCAATTTCCAATGCCTTTAAGTAAGTCAAAAACAATTTAACAATACCCTTAAAAAAAAAAAAGCAAAAAATTTGTGATAAGTCGGAGTAGTCGATGAGAAAAAAACAAAGCTAAGGTATGGTACCCTTAATCACAGATAAATTCTTGGGACACTTAAGTGAACCGTGAGCGACCTTTCGAATTTGTCACCCATTATTTCGGTTAAGGTTACCGGTATGAATAAAGCAAAGAAGACAAATAAACAAGGAGAAAATATAGAAACCGAAAATGTTTTCCCCTATAAATAAATAAAATATTTTCCCCCTCTCCCTAGGTCCGAAAATTCGTAACCCTGGCTTGAAACGGAAAAAGAACTTTTATTTTTAAAAAACCTTTATTTAAAAGTTTTTTCGGCTTCGCTAAAAAGTCGATGTAAAAAATTATTTACATTCATAGTCACTCAAACAAACGACACATAAGAATCATGTGTAATAATTTAAAAAAAATAGTAACTCTAATCTAAGCCCAATTGCTGTTTATTTTTCATTTGACGGAACTATTATCAAAAACTTGAATACATTAACGTTAAACTTTTACTATAAACCTGGAAATTTATTTCAAAAAAATTCCTTAGGACTTTTATTTTAAGAACTTTTTCTCTACAAACTGTTAAAATGGAACTTTTTTCCTAAAATGTTTTACAGACACTGTTAAAATGGGACTTTTTAAGATAGTTTCACAAAAGTTTCAATCCCTAGAAAAAAATGTATAGATGGGAAAATTAAGGCTAGTTTAAAGTCTAGAAATGTTTGTTATTTTTAGATAGAAATTGCTTTAGCTCACACCTTCTGTCCCAAAATTCAAAAATTAGAATTTAAAAAAATTATCATACTTCTTAGGGTTCTTAAAGAACGCGAAATTTGACCGCTTAGATTAAATTCTTCTACATAAATAAGTCGATATATCCCGGCGATACGTTACCCTTAATCGGTATCGCTGCGGATTATCGCGATCTGTGTGGCAGTTTTTATGACGCTATATTTCAATAGATAGTAATACAAATATATCGCCACATTACCGTCGACAGGAATATCGCATCGCCAAGAGGTATCGGACTCTGTGTGTAGCGGCCTTAAGGGGTGAACAACGTCTTAGGAAGTATTGCGCTAAATATTTGAACCAAAGAAGAACGAGTTAAACGGAGATTTAGACCGCTACACAACTCCGAATTGAATTATTTGCACACGCTAAATGTAATTGAGATGATAGCTTTGCGATCATTCAATCCACTAATTCCTAAACGTTTAATGCGCAACGTGTGCCGACTGGTAAGCGTCGAGGGGTACACTTAAAGCCAGGGTTGCTCATCCCCCCAAGGTCGATGGCGAAAGAGCCTAACCCCCCCCTTCCCGCTCTCCCAAGATATTTAATTGCTAATCTTTTCTTAAAATCAGAGCAAGGGGAATTAGAATTAGAAAAATCATAGATCACACACAATTATACTTGTCGTCTATTCAACGTTTTCCCCTTGCCCCTTATTCTGAAAATTTTCATTCCGAATATTCATGACTCCGTTAAAATGTGCTCTCCTCAAAAATTCAAAAAACCCGTAAGGTATGCCCCACCCCCTCAAAACTTGCGCCATCAAACCCTCTCCTGGGCACCCTCCTGCTTAAAGCAAAGGACAAAGGTCATTGTTTAGTTATTGTAAAAAGCGTTTTTAATGATTAAAAGTCCAGAAAGCTAGTTTGAGATTTGAAATGTATCCCTGCCTAATCATTCACATATCTTTCTCTATTTAAATATGAGGTAATAGGCGATTAGCCGATTTGGGATGGATTTAGGGGAAAATCTCGCACGGGGCGCCTATAACCCACGGGCGACGGCCCCGGTGGAAAATAGTTCTATACTGCATTTAGCATACTCTAAACAAGAATAATGACCTACATTAAAATTAATGTTACTCAGTGGACGTGGAATTTGTTGTTCTACAACCTTTATTCTCTGAGATTTTTTCTCTTAGGAAACTCACAACACGGAAAATATTTTTGAGCTGCAGGACCATTTATAGTAATTTGTCTCAGTTTTTGAGGAATTTGATAAAAAATGTACAAATCTCAAGTTACTTTATTATACGTCCGTTTACCTCTTATCTATATTTATTTCTGTTTTGAAATTCAACTATTCAGTAAGTAAATGTTTTTTTTTTACTTGTTATCTTCCGGATGTGTTAAATATCCGCTAGAATCCAGCAGATCCTTCCTGAACTCAACACAAATCTCTAATCATCGCTGATGGATTCCATCGATGGAATTTAGTGCTGAGTTTATGAACTTGCCGTAAGGTAAAAATAAATACCACCATTACGTAGCTTAGATAATTTCCCAGCCTTGCTATTAAATTTCGTTTTGGAAAGCTGGCACCACTACATGGAACCAAGTCACGCAACTCACTTCATAATCAATGCGATACAATTTAATCTTTATAACGTATTTGTGCAAGTAAGTTAATGTTTCTTTTTAGATCTCTATTTATACTATTTGAAAACCATTGGAAACATAAAGTACCAGTAATGCACTAGTTAATCAGTGGATCAACTCTAATCCATTTGTCAATGGATACGTCTTTTACGACGTGTTTTTCCGCTGTTAGAGAATGAAGAAGGTAGCTTCTAGAGCACATTTAATCCTTCCCAATCCGAACGTGTGAACTTTTAACGACATCAGTTGCAAATGGTGCACCGCTCTTAGAAAAAAATCAAAACTGTATCTAAAAAATTAACGCAACTTACAGTTCTAATAATTTAAATATTACGAGAAAAAAATACACGAAAGATGCGGACATTTATGTTATTTAAAAAACGATAAAATATTAATCTTTGAGAAAAAACAACTGTTTCAAACATTCAGAGAATATACGAGAAAAATGTTTCTTTTATTTTATTCAGGTTCTTCTAACTATTTATTATTCTGATTCTATTAGTTTATGATAGATTAATTAGTTAGCAAATTAATTAATTATTAATTAGATAGTTTATAAGGTTTTTATTAAAACAGATTTAACGGTTAGAATTTATTTTGGTCTCTAATACTAGAACATAGCGCCTCTCCTGAGCCTCTACTGGTCCTTAATACCAGTAATGCGGCTGAGTGCGAGGAGCTGAGATCTTCTGGAGTCCTGCCTTTCCTTCCACGAGTGGGGTGAAAGGCTAGGCTTGGAGTTCTTCTGAATCAATGGATTCTGTAAATACTGTATAGTATGCATGTGTTTTAATTGTTATTTTGATTAGTTTAATTCTTTTGTTTATATATATTTACTTTTATTATTATTAGTTTCTGTATTATTTATTATATATAGAGTGTGAATGTGCTCTCTCAACACTATAATAAATGTCCTTAATTGTGAGAGATTGTAATATTTCTGAATTAAAAAAAAATACTATAACTTACTTTTGAGTTTGAATGAAAATATTCATAGAAGTTAGTCAATTGTTATCACAGACTTCGATTTCTCTTTCTGTCAATAAATCTAACACTTATTAAAATATTTTTTAAACATTTGATTATTTTTAGAATGAATAATGTATAATAATATATCTAATTAAAATGATTTCTTTATATTTTTAGACTACTAAAGTAAAACAATTAATGGTTATACAATATTTCTGCTGCTCCATTAAAAAAATATAAAATTACAATAAATAATCTAAAATTTATCAGGCAATGTGCACACGCATTAGCCCGCTCGGCAAACCCACCATTAATATTTTACAAATTCGACATTTACCTTATTATGATAGTGGTTTAAGTCATCATTTAAATTTAACAATTAATAAATTTTTTCCCAAATGGGATTGAGTC